GTTTGCAAAATTGCATAACTCTGCCTGCAATATTTGCAGAATTATTTGCCCCTTTGAAACTTAGAAATTTTGGTTAAAGGTCTTCAAAGATATTTACTTGAAACTTTACACATGCACTTAGGGTCATAATTGGAGGGTCATACTTGTATGTCACTGACCAAGTTCCATAACTCTATCTTGCATTAAGGCTAATTCATATCCCCTTTTCTACTTAGTCTCTTGGTTAATGTTTTCATGCAAGTTTTACATATCTCAATAACTATTAAAGATATTTATTTAAAACTTCACATATGCATTTAGGGTCATAATTGTAGGTCACTGACAAAGATCCATAATTCTATCTTGCATTTAGGCTGATTTTTCTCCCCTTTTTCAACTTAGAAATTCATGGTTAAGTTTTGCTTGTAAGCTGTTATCTCAATAAGTACTGAAGGGTTTGTGCCTTTTTTGGGACAATTTTATAATAATAAAGCAGTGATTTACTTGATAAAACATCTTAATAACAAGCCTTTGTACCTTTTCTGTCATATTTATGTATTCATAGGTAATTAGTATTATCTTACTCAATAAAACACCCTTGTGACATTACCTTCTGAATAGTCAAGCCAATACTGTATAATTAGACTCTCTCTAAGGCCTATAACATGAATTTATAACAAAAAATTAGACCTTTTGTCAACTTAAAAAATTTATCATTATCAAGGCTCTTTTACTATCAAGCACTTAGAATAGTCGAGCGTGCTGTCCTACCGACAGCTCTTGTTAGATCAACTATTAGAAGAATAGGGAGTGCTATTGTACTTGGGCATTGGCTTCACAGTGGTTTAATTCTGCTTGCAAGTAGGTATAACCAATGAAGGGAACTGGTTGAAACTTATTACATTTATTTGAGAGCATAATAGAATGTCACTGTTTAAGGCCCATAATTTTTAATTGGATTTTCACAGAATTATTGCCCGTTTGAGAAAAAAGTCGTATTATAGTTTCGCCCCTGGCAGGAGGCCAGGCGGTGTCCAATTTTGTCCGAAGCAGATCTCCTTCACGCATTGAGGATTTGAGGAATTCTATTGAAACTTCATAATTTTTATAAATGTTCATAACAATGAGAAGCTATGTCGCGCATTACTATGAGAAGCTCTGTCACATACATGAACCAGGTCAAAGGTCAAGGTCACACTTGGAGGTCAATGAAACACACTTTTCTGGAGCAAAACTTCTTCATGCTTAGAAGGATTTCAGTATAACATGGCACAAATGTTGACAATTGTGAGTCAGTGTCACGTGCAAAATTCAGGTCCTGCGGTCAAGGTCAAAGTTCAGATAAAATATGAAAATGTGTATTTGGACCATTTAGTCATCAATCATTGAGGGACTGAAGCACAAAACGTCATTATCATGGCTACGGATGTGAAACATGTTAATATATGCAAGGTCAAGGTCACGAAAGATGATAAAATATAGATATTTTGTCTAGAGCATATCTCCTTCATGCATGGAGGAATTTTAATGAAACTTCATACAAATGTTCACCACTATATATGAGAAGCTGTGTCACGAGGATAAGCCAGGTCTCTAGGTCAAAGGTCAAGGTCACACTTCGAGGTCATTGAAAAATTCAAGTCCCTGCTACCGAGGTCAAGGTCACACATAGGGGTCCAAAGTTCAGATAAAATATGAAAATGGTACTTGGACTGAGGGATTAAAACACAAATGGTCATTATCATGACTACCGTTGTGAAACGTTTAATTAAGGTTAATATATGTAAGGTCAGGGTCACTAAAGATGATAAAATATAGAGATTCTGTCCAGAGCATATCTCATAGACGCATGGAGGGATTCTAATGAAACTTCATAGAAATGCTCACCACTATGAGAAGCAGTGTGGCGTGCATGAACCTGGTCTCTAGGTTAAAGGTTAAGGTCACACTTAGAGGTTATTAAAAATATAAGGAAGTCTCTATATATGGTATGATTTCGTTTCGAAAAAAAAAAGGTTTTACACAAATGTTTGACTGTAGGGGTAGTAAGAGTGGTCCCAATTTTACTGGTGTGCCTGTCTGAACACGTGATATTTAACACCGCATTACAAAGTGTTCAATGGAAAAGATAATTGTACTGGGAATAGAAAAGAAACGATCTTGTTTAAACATTTTATTTGTATGACAGATATAAATTTGTAGACTTTGTTGTTTAGAATAAAATTACCTTCACTTATTGGTAGGAAAACATTTTACTATCGGAAAGTGAAGGTAATTTCGATTTAGATAAGACTTCAAATTCATATAATACTGACAAAGCTTTTATCCAACTCGCGTTTGTTCGGTCAATTTATAAATTTACAGATCCTGTAAACATCCTTTATTTTTTTTAGAAAAAGTTATGTCTCCAAAATACATTAACCAAAATCTAGATTTTCTAAAATGGAAAGGAATATGCATTTGACAAAACCACTCAAAATACGCTACAAAACATTAATACGGGGACTTTTGCATATATTATAGTTACATGTATTGCAGGTCATTGTAAATTTATGTTGTAGCAGTTTACGATTTGAATAGCTTTTTTTTCGAAAACCCTTTGATAGCTTTGAAGTATCTTGTTTTTTGTATTCAGTTGAGAAAAAGTCTGAAGTTTACACTAAGTTTACTCAATGTAGGAACCTCCCAACTCTACCAAAATAGGCATATCTCTTGACTGAAAACTGAACAATTTTTTTCTATTTATCTATTAAATTAAAACAATTCTTACGTAGAAAAAGACATAGAAATATAATGGATACATCATATGTGAAATAAATTGCATTTACACGGTACATTTCATTATTATATACGACTGAATTTTGATGTACAATTTTACAATTATTACACAGCAACTGAATATTAAAAAATGAGTAAACTTAGTACATGTACCATATTACAAGTGTAGAGATTTAGTCATATTTGATCTTCAGTCCAGACTGTTATAGATATGATGGAAACTGTGGCAAATTTGATTTTAACAATTACCAGAATACAGCTATATAGATAAATACAGGATATGTTTGTCATGCTCCTAAACGGTCACTTTAAAAACACATCAACAAATAATGAAAGTGACCAAGATCATATTTGTGGTTTTAACAGATAAATAACGATATCAACTTTTCCCTAGCAGAGGGAGATCCATTTTAAATGAAAACTGAAAAAGTATGAAACTGTTTCCTACATTTTTTGTGACTGGTGAATTCAATTTGTTTTGTTTTTTAGACATGTTTAGTGACACTTATAAGGAATGAGCCATCACATCAGTTTCAAAGAAGTTTACAATGCAAGGAAAACACAAACAAAACTGATGAAGATTGTAATTAAACATGGTAGAACATTCAGAGCAGCGTCAATGTCTCCAAACCCGCTAAGATCAACATTTCTATGGTCATTTCCCCCAGTACACTCGCATGTAACTTTCGGTGCCTGGTACACGATTCTTGTGCATGTTTTCAGCGTGTTTTGAGGAATACACAAGCTGTCAGCGTCTAAGCTGCTAGAAGCAAACATGTTACAGTTCGTATCGTTTAAAAAGTTGATACCGTCAAAGAGGCAAGGGTTTGTATTTTTCTGGTTGCCTTCCATTACGCTCTTTGAGAACTCTCCTCGGCCACAAATCGGGCATCTGTCGACAGTGGCATTTGAAGGCGAAGTCCATAATTGCATATTACATAATGACGCAATGGTATAGAGACTGTCTTTGGTCGCAGCGAAGGTGGCGCTCTGAGTTGGCATAACTTCGTCGTACTGGTATTTTCCACCGTAAGACATCTGTAAGCTTACAATAGCTTCTTCGCCTATCTTCATATGCTCTTTAGTACCAGAGCAACCATCTCTTGGCGCGACCCTCTCAATTATGATCTCCTCCGTGATCGGATCCTCGCCGGCTTCCAGCACACAATACACTTCAAAAACAGCGTCTATTTCATAATAAGATTTTCCGCCGATGTTTCTGACGTTCGCCCGATGTTCTTTTGTTTTTCCATACACTACACTATCTGACATGAGTAGTCGTTCTTCCATAGAAAGTTCTGTCCAGTCTTTGGAAATTGAACATTTCGATAAGATAACATCTTTCACTATGAAACCGAACACAATGCCCAGTAGCAATAAATATTTTACACACTGCTCCATTTTTTACTTCTTTTTTTAAAAATGATTTTCAGTTATTCAACCAATGTACCACTAAAACTCCAGTTTTGTACTTTTAAGGTCATATGCAGTTTAATGTATGTAGTAACCAATGCTTTGAAAAAATAGGTAGAGGTAATAGATTAACAGATTAAATTCACAGATTAAACACGATTACAAAATTTTGAATCTTTTGTATTATCATTATACATTAATTTTGTAATGTTTAAAATTCATTTATAATATGGATTAGCTTACTTCAGAAGATTAAAGTTGAACTAAAGTGTGAACTTTATGAAGACATTTGAATGTATGCAGATGACTGTGGGTAAAACAGGCAGATCATCATTGTAAAGTATATAGTTATTTGTTGTTAGGAAAAAAGTGATTATCAACTCAAAATGGGACATGTGAAAATCGCGGAGATACTTTTCATAGGACTTTGTGTTTCTTATACAAGTGGTTGTCTTATACAGGGATATTTAGATATGAGTATTATGGAGAGGCTAATTCAATCCAAGTATGTGGTATATGGTAAAACAATAAGCCATATGCCGCATAAAACCTTTGTTGACGGCAAGAAAATTTACGTAATTGACGCTGTGTTTGAAGTGTCATGTGTATTCAAGAAGTGGGACGACGATGTTGAGGAAATCATCACTATAGCTGGTATAGCACCACGTGACGACTGTTCCGGGACGCTGGTCCAATCTATTATGAGAGTAGGGGAGCACGCGATCATCGCATTAAAGAAGTCTTCAGACGGAAAGTACGATTTCGATGAAATAATGCCGAAAACTACAGCTGCCGTCATAGCGTACAAACCGTATTTCTTCTCTATAGCCAGAATCTGTGGAATGCAGAATTGGGAAGCACCTGTAGGTGCAAGCACCAACAAGTGTCCATTATGTGGTACAAGCGACTTTGATAGGGAGATTCAGTCCTTAGACAATTCTCAACATCAGCTTACCAACTGCCTATCAACCCATAACACCATTGTCACCAATATGACAGAATGTGATCTCTACATGGAGTACTCAATTGATGAATCCAACAACAAAACATGTGTACCAGTCACTAATCGGCAGACATGTTCAACTCTTCTGTTCCGGACGACCGCTGCAACATGTGATTGCAACCCAAAGAAAAAGAAAGCAACTGTGGGAGTTGGCGCCGGAGTTACAATATTCCCGAGCACATTTATGATAATAATTGTTCTTTTATCACTGATTGTTAATATTGATAATTAGACAATTTAAAATGATACAGGAAATGATGTTTCCAAATATCAACTTGTGAAAAGTGAAACTTTGCTGTTTAAGCATATTTTGTTTTGTTTTGAAAATTATCTTGCAAAAAAAACTCATTATGATTTTTGATTAAAGTTTAGAACTAAAAATCATATTTCTTGCTGCAACTTGAAATAGAACGGGGTGCCATCGAGTAGAATATGTATTTTGTGTTATTCTTGTATAGGCAATGATTTTCATTGTCTTTGACAACGCCCTTCGCTAAAAATGAAAGGAAAAAAAGATACTTAGATCCAGACTTTATAAATTTCCTAGTATTTTCAATTTGGAATATGTGATGAATAAGCATACTAATTCAATGACACATTCTAAAAATATATTTGTGAAAAACATTTAAATCATGTGTAGAATATAGTACTTATTCTCCGTATTATTTCTGGTACATGTTTTTATTGCATATTCTTAAATAATCTTTATTTCTTACCAGATTATGTAACTCTTGTAAAGATCTAGATGAGTTAAATAAACACATTGAATTTGTCGTATTCCATGTTCTAGCGACTTAGGCCCGTGATATTCTTTTACATGTGTAAATTATTTTTTTTAAATTGCATGCAGGTACATTACTTGATAATTATATAAGAATCACGTTCATCTTTAAGTTCATTAAAGGGCATAAAACTATATAATTGGTAGAATGACTGGTTTTCTATAAGAACGCGCATTCATTTGTTATATATTTGCTCAAGTCGTGACGTCACGGAAGTGCCTTGTGCTTTATGTTTATATACCTATTCACAAGTTCACAAGGAAAACCAATTTCTTCCATTTTGTTTAGACTTTACGCATACAGACATAATAAAAGGAAAAATCCGAGAGTGTTTGTCTTGCAGCCTTGTTGGAATACACACCCACACAATCACCCGTACATTCAAATCGGACCAGTAACAGAGAAAGAATGTTGTTTGTTTTTTGGAAATGGTTCAGGCAGAGGCTCTAATACAAAACGGTGCCGCATCTGTTTCTGTTTTTCAAAGATAAAATGAATAAGATATGAATGTTGCTTTGGAAAAAATAGAACTATCATGCTAAACGCACGTTCAGATATAATAATTAATGATGTCGCATGAACTACAAGATATTCTTGCACTACGTAATGTTCTGACCTGAATCTCCCTCGATATGTATAAATCCTCTTCTTCTTCTTTGAATACTTGGCGGGTACCTGTGGGTAGTTATTGCTCGGGTAAAATGGACTTTTGGTACCAGTCGATCCATGCCTTTCACTAAATTGCCAACTAATTTGAAATAGTTATGTTTGGAGATCTCAAATATAAAAAACTGATCCATCTAAGCCTTAGAATTATCAATAGCAGTTGAAAATTTTGTGAATAACGAAATAGAACATACAAAATGCACTTACACTTGTGCGTCAAAACACTCGATATACATGTTTGAATATAACTTTCAGTGAATGAACATAGCATGACTGTAGGTTTTTTGATTTTATGGTATAATTTGCCAGTTCAAGCTTTTTACACCATTTAATTAAAAGCTCGTGGATGTACCATGGAAATATATATTATGCCATGTACATTTTGTATATGATTCAATGTTGGTGAGCATACAGGAAATTAATTAATAGCCAAAATGTGCTACTTCAACTTTTACGTTTCTAAGCTATGTTTGTTGAAAGAATATGCGTTGACAGAACTCACGAGAGGACTATTTTAGTAAAACATGTACATTATACCAAACAGGTAAACAATTTTATATGAAAAAAAAAATGAAAAAACTTTACAGCCATATACAGACATGTACTAGAACTATCACTGAATGTGATGAATCCCAATAAATACACACAAAAAAAATAATCAGACAAGCCACACAAACACGAACATTTAGTAATTTAATTTAATTGCAAACGTTTCGGCTATATGCCTTCATCAGTGCAAAACATAATAAAATTACCGGAAGCGACGTCATAACGGAACACGCGTTAAACGCGCGAAAAACGTTATGGCGTTTAGCGGCAAAACTATGATAACATGTAGAAACAAATATTTATGCTATAAATAAAGCTGGTACATGAATTAAAATGGATCAACAGTGATACAGATGTCTATTAGACAGTGTTAATAAAAATAAGATAATAGACAAACATATTAATATTCATGTAACCTATTATAAATCAAACAATACTTTATTATTTAGTCCATTTGGAATCATAGTATTTAATTTATGGATCCAAAAAGATTCTTTACATAACCGGTCCATGTTGTTGTCTATAATTTCTATAGGTAAAAATGAAAAATCTGACAATGAACACTTATTATCGTTTGATCCGAAATGGATCGCAACATGTGAAACTGGATTAACGTCACAATTTCTTATATCAAATCTATGTTTATTCATTCTGCATGATACATTTTGATTAGTCTGACCTACGTATTGCTTTTTACAGCCTTTACATGTAATGAGGTAAATTACATTACGCGTAGTACAATTAACATCATTGTGTAAATCAAAAGAACTACCTGTTATGCTGCTATTAAATTGGGAACCAACAATTATATTGTTACAATGTGAACATCTACTTCGTAAACATTGGCTAGATAAAAATGTGCGATCACGTAAAGCACTTCTATTAAGATAATCTCGAATGTTTTTAGGACGTCTATATGCTAAAATTTTTTTTTAATAAATACACACAGACACAAACAGCTTCTATTCATAAAACAAGAACTACCATTGCACAAGCAAGGGCCACACTCGCCTATTTTTATATTTTTAAAATGTAAATTCAATAAGACGCTTAAAATGGCGAAGCCTTCAAGGGCTTTCAAAGGTCAAGGTGATATGTGAATCACTCAATAAAAACTTACGATCACGCAGGGATTAACGGTGGGTGTTATTCTTGTTATTCTAAACTTGTGCCTCATCCATTCAAGGTAGCCCCTCAGCCGTCTACATGAATATATATTCTCAGTAGTTGAAGCTCTCTCCATAATCAAGCTAAATAATAATTATAAATTGAAAAGGACAAGCTGATTAAATAGTTAATGTAAAATACCCAAGTGAAAAAATCTTTATCTTCAAAAAACAATTCAGACTGGTACTGTTGAAATGATATTTAATAGAAAAAGATCAGACAATAAATATATAACAATAGTTGTGTAAAATGCTGTACAAAAAATATGCATAACTTTTATCAACAAAATAGTTTTATAATTATCATTAACAATGCTTTGTGTCAAAAAAGAAAGAAATGGAATATTTACTTGATAAAATAACAAAATTGCACCATATATTTATATCCTGTATATACATGTCATGTACAAACATTAATAAACTTTAATAAGCAAGTCATGAAAACAGTTCAATAATGCTGTTTACTTTGTCAAGAGCATAACTTACAAACCAACCTTAAGTGAAAAAAATACCAACACATTAATTATACATTGATCTGAGTTACATCAATAATAATTTTCAAAAAACAAGACAATACAAGAATAACAAACTAGAAATGTGTCCATAGGACACGGATCCCCCCACACGCCACTGTTCTGTCAATCTTATGACTCTAGGTCAAATATTTTTTGGACTACATGTGCCACAAGTTGAAAACTAAAAATCAACAAAGGGCTATAATTCTGTTAAATTTGGTCGCAGCAAAAATTCCTACCTTTACTACCATCTACACATTAAGGTTGTTAATCCCTGGAAGTTTGAGCAAAATCTGCCATGCGGTTTAAGAGGAGTTGCGTTCACAAAATTTCTACATAGTATATAATGAAAAAAACAACAAAGGGCAATAATTCTGTTAAATTTGGTTGCAGCAAAAATTCCTTCCTTTACTGCCATCTACACAAAAAGGTTGTTCATCCTTGTAAGTTTAAGCAAAATCTGCCATCCGGTTTAAGAGGAGTTGCATTCACAAAATTTCTACATAGTATATAGTGAAAAAATCAACACTGGGCCATAATTCTGTTAAATTTGGTCACAGCAAAAATTCCTTCCTTTACTACCATCTACACATTAAGGTTGTTCATCCCTGTAAGTTTAAGCAAAATCTGCCATGCGGTTTAAGAGGAGTTGCGTTCACAAAATTTCTACATAGTATCTAGTGAAAAAATCAACAAAGGGCCATAATTCTGTTAAATTTGGTCGCAGCAAAAATTCCTTCCTTTACTACCATCTACACATTAAGGTTGTTCATCCCTGTAAGTTTAAGCAAAATCTGCCATGCGGTTTAAGAGGAGTTGCGTTCACAAAATTTCTACATAGTATCTAGTGAAAAAATCAACAAAGGGCCATAATTCTGTTAAATTTGGTTGCAGCGAAAATTCCTTCCTTTACTACCATCTACACATTAAGGTTGTTCATCCCTGTAAGTTTAAGCAAAATCTGCCATGCGGTTTAAGAGGAGTTGCGTTCACAAAATTTCTACATAGTATCTAGTGAAAAAATCAACAAAGGGCCATAATTCTGTTAAATTTGGTTGCAGCGAAAATTCCTTCCTTTACTACCATCTACACATTAAGGTTGTTCATCCCTGTAAGTTTAAGTAAAATCTGCCATGCGGTTTAAGAGGAGTTGCGTTCACAAGATTTCTACATAGTATATAGTGAAAAAATCAACAAAGGGCCATAATTCTGTTAAATTTGGTTGCAGCGAAAATTCCTTCCTTTACTACCATCTACACATTAAGGTTGTTCATCCCTGTAAGTTTAAGTAAAATCTGTCATCCGGTTTAAGAGGAGTTGCGTTCACAAGATTTCGGGACGTACGGACGGACTGACGGACGGACGGACAAGTGCAACGCTATATGCTCCCACATTGTGGGGGCATAAAAAGTTAGATTGCTCAAGGTTTCCTTACCAATGTTCAGGCAAATTCAATTACATGTATCCTTAACAAATATTTAGGCATAATAAACTGTCCTTCACAATTTTTCAAGTATAATAAACTGTCCTTAACAAATGTCCAGGCATAAAAATGACCCTTTATGGCCTTTATAAATATTTAGGAATAATAAATAAACATTCACAAATGTCCAAACATAATAATTACATGTATTCATAAAAAAATTTCAAATATTAAAAATTAGCCTCAACAAATTTTCAAGTCAAATAAATAATCTGTTAAAATGTTCTAGCATAATAATTTTTTTAACAAATACTCATTCTGAAACAATGAATCACCCTTGACAAATGTATTCTCATATATTACCTACATGTATGTAAAATAAATTAAACAATATCATTATTAAGATCTTTTTTACAAATAGAGATTGAACAATAAATTAAATCCAGTGAAACTGTATTGAACAAAATGATTCTCTACCGTATTAATGATTTACACATAAGGCATTACAGTAACCCCACCCCTTTAAACAAACAAGGTTCTAATGTCTAAAAAGTGTTTGCCCTTTTTGCAATACTGTCAGCACAGATTTTTTTTTATTATCTATTATTTTTTCTACCTTTTTCATAACTAAAAAATCAGTTGATCAGCAGTTTTTGACAAAAAAGTAATTTCCTTATGTCTCATAATTCTTTGAAAAATGTTAAAGAGATGTGTGACTAAGAAAATTAATAATTTATTTTACTGATCATGGCCTACACTGTTCCCTTTTCAGTCACAACATATTTGGAACTTTCCCATAAAAAATGATGAATTCTGTCCAGAAAGAAAGATGGACAAGTCTATTTAAGATATTTAGCAGGGTAAGGGTTCAAAACTGATTTTTTGACTGCTGGGAGACAGAAAAAGGGATCATTTAATTCGAATGAATAACTTTTGTTATTTCATTAAAAAATCAAATAAAACACTTAAAATTACATTTAACGAATGAATAAAGGACATTTAATTCAGTTTTTTTGTGAAATCTATCGTATTTTGTTCTTACAGATCAATTTATGTCCTACCTAGTTGCAAAGAATATTGTTACAAAGAATATCAAATATGTATATCTTTTGTGATATAAAACATAAAAAAACCATAAAAACATCAGTGATGCATCACATATTATATATATATGTATAATGTTAATTTTCACAAATAAATCAATATTGTAACAATGTAACAAGTATGGATAAACAAATCATCCTAACAATAAGTGATTCATATTTTTCAATAAAGTGCATGAAAAAGATAATAAAATTATTAAGTTTTTGTGAAAAGAGTGTCCAGGTTTAATTGTGAATTGATACCAGTCAATAAATGTATAATATCATATGCCTGTATGATGTTCAACATCTGAATTATGAACTGTAACATAACAAATTGTAAACCTCTTAAATTACTTTAAATACCTGCACACAAAATAAAAAATAGCACTTTTATATATAGAATTAAAACTCTACAGAGAATGTGTACTACAGTATGTTAAAACACACAGCAATAAGAAAGTACTTTATTAGTAAAAAAAAAACATGAATAAAAAAATCAGGAATCCTATAATTATCATGTGGAGTTTTTAAATCTGAATAAAATAATCTAAAAAATATTCAGTATCTTTTATATCTTTGTTGAATTCTTAGTCAGACTGACATGGTAATGGTCATATGGCAAATTTCCAGCTTCACTGGCTTAGGGGTAGTCCTTCATGCTTTATTTCAGGCAAAAGTGGGCACCTAAGCAGGTCCACTTTTATCAGACACACTGAAGTACATAGACAAATATAAGATCTCCAACAATATTCAAACACAAGGTGAAATAAACATTAATGCTATATGGAGACATTTGTTATTGACTAGTTCAAGGAATGTTGGATAAAACATATCACAAATCTTTATCATAATCTGGAGAGAAAGAGTGATCCCAAAGAATATCAACAATTATCAAGCAAACAACAATAACAACTTACCCAAGGCACATTAGTAATGAGCCAAACATACATTTTCTTATTACCTTATTATCATTTTTTTGGTCAAGGCAAATGACAGCCAATTTGAAATACAAATTTCCATATCAAATGATATAATAAAGTAAAAACAAAAAGTTGAAAACAAAAACAAAATCATTGGCTAAAGTGCCATTTCTAAAATCAGGCTATCCATAAATTTAACTTATTGATAGGATCTTATAATTGTTGTCATTTTATCTAAACGGTTTTAAAAATGTTAAGAACAGGAAATCAATTTTAACTGCTGGTGGCATCTCAGATTCCATTCATTCATCAAAAAAATTGATTTTTCCAATTGATTGATGGACAGGTCAATTTGAGATAGTAGGCATGGTAACAGTAAAGTGATGTTTATTAAATAATGTCATCCATGATATTTATCATGAATAAGTAAGTTAAATAAAGAAATCAATATTGATTATATGACATTGAAAACATGCCATCTCATATAATAAATTTACATAATATGTTATGAATAAAAAGTTGTACTGAAAAGTTAGTTTAGAAATTATTAATTTCTATATTTCTAGATTAGTTATCTTATCTGGACATATTTAACAATGTCATTAGTATTTTTCTAGAATAATTTCCCCTCTAAACTCATCATACACATTTCTGCACAGTTAAAAAAAAGATATCCTTTACAAAATATGCGAGTTTCCATATTTTCTCTTGCAGGATAAGAAATCAGGTTTTGATATGAACATAGTTTGCAGGAAATATTCCAACTCTGCCCTTTAATCTACCTTCCCACCAGTCATTCTGTGTGTCTGTCCGCGTTAATACTTCTATTCTATCCCCTGTAAAATAAAATCTTACTTAATTAATCATAAAATACGTAACAGTAGAAAGTCAAAATACATGTATTAATTTTACCTAAAATGAATTTAGCTTTTGGTAAATGCTTACAATGCTGGAATGGAAACTGCACAACCTTTCTTCAAAAACAAAAATAATTATAAAATTAAGTAGTATATGTTTTATGTTACCCTAAAATTGCCCATTAAGTTAAAAGCTTATTTCCAATGGGGTCCAATTACTGTAATATTAAAACATAATATCATATAATTATGTATGATGAAACAAGCAGTTTACCCCCTTTTCTCAGTTTAAACTTTATTTGCCTAAAGTATTGCATACCAGTTTTGAAAGGCAGGTCACATGGTAGTTGTCCCTCAAATGGATATTTTGCTACAGCCCACAGCTCCCAGGAGTCATTTGACCCAATCGATAGATTACTTGCTCCTGTGAAAAATGGTTAATTAAGATTTATCATATTAAAGAACTAAAACCTTAAAGCTCTATGCCTCCAGATCTTTTTTTTTTTCAAGAAAATCAAACTTGGGAAAACTGTTGTTCTAAAATTCAAAGAAAGATAAAAAGATTAAAGATTTACATCATTTACATGTTATGTGATTTTGCAGTATTTATCACCATATTTCTAATGCATGTCTGATGCAGAAATGGCTATTTTTGCATACTTAATCATGTTTTTGGTAATTTACATAGATTTTCATTGCTGTTTGAAATGTCAAAATCACTTTCATTGTTCACTTCATGATGTCTATTTAGATAGATTTTCAAAATTTTCATGAAAATTAGCATGAATTTGGAGGCATCTGCTTTAAAAGTCACAGTAAATATTCATGACAATATCAACAAATCTCTAATCAAGAAAATAAACTTTTTATGACCAGCCAAATATAATTCATCAAAGTTTAACTCTTAACCTGCTAAAACCCAAAGTGACTGGCCATAAGCAACAAGAATAGAGCCAGGCCAGCCTGCACATCCAAATAGTCTGACCAGACTTTATACTGTTGGTAGCTCAATTTTAGATCCCTTATGGCTGAGGGGTTGTTGTTTTTAAAGGGTTGAGGGTTCAGAATTGCAGTCACCGTTTATCCCTATGTGATCGTAAGAGGCAACTAATGATGTCTAAGTGTATGAATCTCTTAGTACCAGGAGGTGAGGTGGTTTTGACCCCTGGTGTTGTAACACCCTAGGTTACCCAAATCATCTTTCCCGTTCCAGTGCCATATGACCTTAATTGTATTGGTGCAGCATTAAACTAAACCAAACAAAAATGAGCTCAATTCTTATACTTTAGTATTGAAATCCTTTAAGCTCTCAATTCAAGATTGGGTAATTCAATTTTCAAATTCAGCAGGTTATAGGTTAAACTAAATTATTATTTGCCTATGACTCTAATGTACATTTAAAGTATTTAGAAAAATTAAATGTTAAAATAAGATATAATGAATAAAGCATGATATTTACTACAAAAATATTAAAACAAGAATACCTGAGGCAGATCTTGGTCTTGTTTTTGCAGCTGATTTCTGAGGACTTCTGTGTAAAACAGGACTTGATGACTTATAATTACTTGGTGTATGTTTTGTCACAGTTTTTGTAGTCTTTGTCATGCGTTTTGAATAAATTTTACTATCTGGAGGAGGAAATTTATTTTTTGAAGGAGGGGTTACACTTCCTGTAGGTCTGGCCTTTCTATGTTGAGGTGGAGAATAGGAATCATCTGAGTCCCAATCTTTACCTGGTGAGCTGTCTGATTTATCTTTAGATTTTCGTCTCGTTTTAAATGAGCCAGTAAAACTCTATAATAGTAATAATAGATTTTTTTAATGCAACATATTTTACAATGAAATCTTTGACATTATATCCAAAACAACAAATGGACGTACACATGTAGATGTAAATATAAATAGCTGCTTAGATAAACCACTTATCAATAATAGTGTACTTTATATTTCCAGAGACTACTAACATTTGTTAACATAGAGGGTAAGAATATTAAAGAAAACCTTGAAAGCTCTGATGAGATTGTAAGTTCATTCTTTTTCACAATGAAGAAATATACATTTTTGTATATGATCTGGAACAAAACTCTACTTTTCAATTGTAACAATTTTTCTTTAAGGTGACACAGTAACCTGATGCTTAAATTTTGTGATAAAAACTGTAAGTAAAATCAACTTTAAGTTAAACTCAGAAAAGCTATCCTTTTTTAATTTCTCAAAAACGGTTGATTTTTGGGTTTTTTTATCTTTGGTTACAGTTTCCAAACCCATACTCATTTGCTATATATATTTACTATATTTTGCATCTTTAGTTCTGTTGGGGAATTCAGTTGGTATTATTACAGTGAATTAGTATTTTGTATGGAAGTCAAAATACTACTTTGTTTACATTTTGCTACCTTTACGACACATATCTGCATGTTCAGCGGCTCTTTTTTCATTTGTAAAATGCCTTACAATGCACTTAATCCATAATTTAAACATTATTAAACATATGTTGACATTTCTAAAGAATTAAAAAATATGGATTTCTGAGGCAAAATGTGCCTTAAATATTTTCACAACAAAGTTTTAAAGATAATTTTACAAATCAATGTATATATAAAAATCTTGTTGTTGCATACACTAAATTTACTCTTTATATCGCCTGATGCACCAGTAGCCGCCTTCAGTGCCTCTTTCTTAGCCATTCTCACAAGTTCCTTCTGTGCTTGTTTATTGTGACTTTCAAGAACTTCGTACAAACACGCACATTCTTCTGGGGGTTCAACATACCCTTGAAGTATTTCATACGCTCGTATATCCCGCCCATAAAACCTTACAATAAACAAATTTTGAAAATTCATACAATGTATCAGGGATGTAACTGAACATTCGAACATTTGAATGTTCTGATAAGATTCCAAACATTCAAATGGTTTTTGAGTATTTGAACATTGGTGTAAATTTATAGTCATAGTGCGATAATTGTCATTTCCTTTCTATTTATTTTAAATTATCTAAGTTTCTCTGTTTCTAAAACAGAAATCAAGCTGCTTTAAAAACAATGTCTGGTAATAAATTGACATAAAAACTGTGAACATTAATGAAATTGTATTAAGAACATGCAGCATAAAAAGAAAATTCAAGCATAAAAGTGAACTATCTATAAGTTTATCCCGGCTCTGTCAAATAGAATAGTCTTGAAATGCCCTCACTACAATTAAATATGTCTCAGCAGAACTACGTATAGTTTGTTATACGCAAATTAGGTAAGTGTTCAAGATAAGGGCAAAAAATTAATACAAGAGCAAAAATGAAAATTCTAAGACAAGAAGTTCTTTAAAAATCTTTCAACTTGTGAAAAAAGGATAAATATGTCAGAAAATAATGTTTTTAAAGCAACATCTGTTGAAAACATAGATTGCTTGTTCAGAAAAGGTGCCTCTAAACGGCACAATTTTGAAAATGAACCAAATTAAACATCAAATATTTGTAAATAACATCGTGAAATATTATAAACTTTTTACATGATACGATAAAATAACTTTTTTAACTGTCAATCAATTTCTATTTTCCCATTGAACAATGCATAAATTTAAAAAAGCTTATAAAACTCGGACCTATTTTCAAATATGAGCAGTAAAATTTTGCCTTGACACCAGGGAACGAAAAGTTCCTAATTTCATTGCAAATTTATAAAATTGCTACTTTTTAAAGTAAAAACTAATTATGTAATGTAGCCAGGATTAGTTTTCAGTAATTTTTTGAACGATTTACAAAACATCTTATAATTTGATTTTTGAATGGTGTAATGTACTATGCCAGATCACGGTCAGTAAATAACCTTATCACGTGATTCAACGGAGACATCTTTTTTCGTAAAATTGGTCTGACTCCTGACCATTCTATTTGAAAGACCCTGTTTCATCTTAGTATACTCTTGTATTGTACCTAGTATTTAGGGTGTTATTTTAGATGACTGGTGTCAATGGATTTATTTTATCATATTATGTTAAACAAAGCAGCAAGATTTAATAAATAATTCAGTTCATTCTCAACTGCATGACTTCAACTTAAATATTACTTATTGAGAACTCTCAGCTGTTCCCAAATGGAACATAAGAAATGATAGATTTATAATAAACAATTAAAGCTTACTTTTTATTAGCATCTTTTCTTTCTATAAGACCGCTCCCTTCTACAGAAATTCCAGCAAATAATCCCCGAGTTTTAGAGTATGTATAAATTGCAGCAGTACTTCTCAGCGCTACATCAGCCTCAAGGTTACGTCCTATAGGGCCAGCTGCCACAGTAAAGTTCCCGCCAATTGTCAGATTACCTCCCTTTGAAAAGGCATCTACAGCGGAACGTTTGTTCAAAATGATGACAAAATCTGTCACCTGTAATATATTGTAATAAAGAAGAATGTAAGATCAAGCCTTATAAAGAATTAAATAACATATAAGTTACTCTAGCTGAGGCTAAAAGTGTATTCTCACTGAACATAAATCTTGCCGTCAGGCTTTAAGTGTATTTTCACTGAACATAAATCTTGCCGTCAGGCTTTAAGTGTATTTTCACTGAACATAAGTCTTGCTGAGACTTATTGTGTATTCTCACTGCTGAATGTTTCAAATTCTTGCTGAGGCTTTTTGTGTATTCCAATTGAAGTTAACTTTTTTGTAACATATAGGGTAATATCACTGAACATAACTCTTGCTAAAAGAAATGTCAATGAAATTAATAATTGCTGGGGCTCACCATGTGATTTAATTGAAGTTAACCCTTTGTGTAAATTTTAGTGTTATTTCACAGAACATACATGTAACTTTCGCTGAGGCTAATAGTGTAATATCACAGAAGTTAACTCTTCAAGAGGTTTACAGTCAAATCTTACAGAACATAACACTTAATGAGGCTGATGACATTTGTTTGTTTTGTTTGGTTTAAGGGCACACTGACACAGTTTAAGTCATATGGCGCCAAAACCCGAAGGATGATTTCCGCTAACCTTGGGTGTTTCAAATTTTAAGCAATTCCAGGTGTCAAAACAACCTCACCTGTGCTGGAGCTAAGATGCATAGACCCCAATAATTTGAACCATTCAGTCACTTCTTATGATCACTCTGGTGGCTGCCATTCTGATGACTCAACTCGTAAGGGCAACCCCTCAGCCACAAGGGGAGAGACTCATATAATCTCTATAAATTCTAGTTTTGTTATGAAATTTGAAAACTTAAATTAGATTTACAATTTGTGGAAAAGATTACTACATTTTAGAAAAATTCTACTGGATTATAACAAGATGGTCATATTTTACCTTTAAAGATATACTATGCTGATTTTTAAGTAAAATATCTTTATTGCAGAAATTTATGAAAATCTATAAAATTCTTACTGAATATGTCTTATATAAATAAAAGAACATTCAAACTATGCATGGGAATCAGCGTTCCTTATTATAGATCAAGTAAAACTGGTCCTAATTCTTAATATTCCTGGTGTGTCAACTTATATTGTGTAGGATCTAAAGCATAACATATCTACTTTGTGTGACGTCAAAAGACTGTGTAGCAATTACTGATATTTTCAAATATCAAATTTGAGAATAGTATATCTTTCACAATTTATGAATTTTATATACATGAACAAAATTACAAAAGAATACCTCAGCTCCAATTTCAAAGCCCCCACCAATACCTGCTATACCAATGGCAGAAGGAGCCGACCAACCTGATAAATAAATAAAACATTTTTTGCTCAGTATTGAACACAAAATAAATTTATAACATATAAACATTGGTACTTGATTAAGATACAGAAGAAGAAGTCCCACTGACGCTACTACTAAGGTTGTAATGTTGATTTCCAAGCTATACTGATGATGAAAATCCCCCAGGTACAGGCACCTTATTGTAACACTTAAAATCAAATTATTTTGAGCACAAATAGCACTATGAGGTACTTTATTGTTCCACTTTACATTATTTCAGGGCACTTTAGGCAAAACCAATTGATTAACCTTTGCCACCAGTATTGAGCCAGGTCAGCCTGCACATCACTATGCATTTTAACCAGGGTCCATCTTATATTATTGGTAGCTAAAGTTAAGTATTTTCATAACAAAATCCCTTCAAATTTGATTGGACTCTTCCAAATTCAAAGCTGGGCAAATCCATTACACAAATTTGTCAGATTATAGATTAATTTAAATGATCTACATGTATCAGAGATCTGTTAATCAAGAGTTGAAGCAAAGAGTATCATATCAAAGCATTAGTTTAGTTTATACACATTTATTTTAGTTAGCTTGTGTTGGAAGCTATAGGCTTATTGAAACACTCTCAAATCCGTTCCTGGAACTAAAAAGTACTAAGAAATGAATGTAAAGTTTCTTGCCCAAGGAAACAACGGCTTGCCTCTGATAGGGTTTGAACCCATGTGGGTAGCAATCCTTAGATTACTAGTCTGACGCGTTATCAAAGCATTCAAATTATCTCCTCACAAATGTAAAATTATTTCAACAAACCTGAGTTTATACTGTCATCCCTTTTAGCAATAACTATGCCACTCCCTCCACGAGCAGTGACCAGAAAACCAGCTTTCACTACAGTTAATACTGCCAACCCTTTGGCTTTCATAAATATTCCAGCTGAAAGATTATGAAATGGAATAGCATGTAATAATAATCTATGATTTGTAACAATAATATGTGAGAAAATGGTAATGATCAAAAAGAAAAAAATTGGTGGATGGGATTTTTTCTTCTTCAGAAATTGGTTGAAAATATATATACATTTTTTGAGAGAATAATTGTGCCAAATTTCAGCCCCAAATCAGCCCTGTATTTTAAAAACGCTTGCAGATAAACTGAACAATATTTTAGGGTTGAGTAAAAACACACCATTTTCAAAAGAAACTATATATAACCACCAATATTACTTTAAAACAGTTGCTATGGTGAAAGGTATGACTAAAGTACTTGTGACTCCTTTATAATTAGTCAGCATGTGAACATGTTCACCTGTGTATGATTTAAATCATCACCACTTGATATATGGAATCAACTTCCTTTTAAAACAAATACAAAATGTATCATAAAAACAACAATTAAAATTCTAATATAGAACAAATCCCCATCTTGAGGGCGGTCAAAGTTCACATATTTGTGTATATAAACAAAAATATATAACACTTCTGTATTATAAACAGATTATAAAAGGCAAATGATGTCTTATTTTATTGTGGTTTAACCAAATAAATTGAAAGATGATTTTTGTATATAAGAAATTTAGAAGATTTTTTTAGGCCTTTAACTTAGTTACTTTAATAAGAACACAAGACATTTCAATTTTATTATCATACCTGGTATAAGTTTGTCAGGTCCCATTTTGGCAGTGGGAACTGTAAATTCTTTGAGAATTTTAGCAGCTTTTTTTGCCTCTGACTTCAGGCTATGAGGAATAGGGGTGTTAACCATTTTGATGCTCACTGATTGACTGTCAACAAATGATCTGAAAGTATTAGAAAGAAATTTGAATAAAAGTGCATTTTCAGAAAGATCACTGTAATAACATTTATTTGATCTTTACCTAATATATTTTACTGTTTCCTTAAAATATTAAATACAACATTTCCAAAGTAAATTTATCATCCAGACAGAGGAGTTATAGGAAAAGAGTTCCCACTTTCGTGTTAAGCGCCAAGAACTCGATCTTCGGGGGAAAGGAGTTTGTGTTTTTATTTCTGGAGCTTGAATCTTTAATTCTTTTGAGATTTGATGGTCATTGACAATTTTTTTCTTGTTGAAATCACATGTAGTTCATGTAGTATTTCAGGCCGGAACATCATCAAGGATGCTTAGCTGAGCTTCTTAGGCCGTTTTGGAAGTGTTTTCCCCTCTTGTAATTACATCCACTTCTTTTGTAATTATTACCAATGTTATTGAGAATGTTTATCTCTATATATCCTCAATTAGTTTATATACACTATATCTGTTTCTTTACATCTTTGATTTTATTTTATTTACACATAAAATATCTTTTTAAAAACAACACAGACAAAAACTCCATGGCTGAAATGATTATTTAGACAGATGCCAAATTCTGCAATAAATTATTGTGTTAAAATGTTAAATGTGTTTATTGACAGCTTACAGGAGCAGTTCAAGCCGTGGGAATCCGGGTCAGCTCGGCCCTAAAACGTACTCGGCCCCCGAGTCAGCTCGGCCCTATTCCAACTCGGCACGGGTCAACTCGGCCCACTTTCCAATTAATAATATTTAGGTATTTATTGTAATTATTGTAATTATTTATAATACATGGATTGACAGTTTCTGAACTAGCAGCAGACAGGCTTTCTTATCAGTAGAATAGTGAGTAAAGATAACCGATTGCGTATCTCACTGTATTTCTGACTCGTGGTAGGTTTAACCGTAAATTTAAATACCTTCAGTGTCCAACTAATTCATTCATTCAAATTTGATTAGTGACCACCTGCAATTAATTAGAAGCTTATGATATTAAGTAAACACGTTTTTGTTTCTTATTTTTTGAATAGTACTTTTAATACAAACAAAATGCATCTAAGGAAACACATTTTCATTAGATCTATATTAATTTTATCGTATCTGCAAGACAAATAAATAACTTTTTTTCTAAATATATTTAATTCCGTAGAAGTAGATCTACAATGTAAAATTATATAATAATAAAATATTTCTCATTATTCATTTACCTTAACAACATGCAAAGCAAAGTTAATACGTTATATATATTTTTGTAAAGTGGGCCGAGTTGACCCGTGCCGAGTTGACCCGTGCCGAGTTGGTATAGGGCCGAGTTGACTCTTTTCCAAGCCGTGGGACAGGGCCTGACCTGTGTGCCAAATCATAGTTTTTATAACGGGGTAGGGGTCAAGTGTGTCATAATTGAAATGCATACATGCATGTCACAGGACCTTCGATCATCTATCAGTTCATCTGAATTTAAACTATTTAAAAACCATAAAAAATGGAATTCCTAAAAGAATTTTAAACTGATAAATATCCGTCTTGCTTAATTATGACGACTTTATAAAATGACTAAAAGTTAAAACAGAAAATTAATACAGACATACAAATAATACAGACAATACTTACAATTATTTTGATGTACTTTCTGTTATTCAGATGATGATATATCTATATTTAAGTTTTTAACATTCATTTCCTGGTTTGTTTTGTTTACATTGTTAGAGTAATTTCCCCTTGCTTCATAAGTTTAATTTACGACTTGATTTTTTTATTGCGTCATCGCCGGGGGATCCCGGGAATATCCCCTCACACAATTCTACTTATAGAGGGAATACATGTATTTAATGTTTAACTAACATTAAAAGTCAAGCCTCATAGGAGACGTGACATAGCCTATATAAAAATACATTACCACAGGCACCGCGCAAATCATTATCAGACCTTTAACATCGGATTAAGAAGAGAAGACCAAATGAAACCAAAATACTGCTACTACTGTAGACAACCAACATCAATGATCAATACTCCCTCCACCGACATTCAAAACACATGCACGTCTAACATCTCAAAATAAACTTCATCAGGATACAAAATCAAAAACAAATGTACTGAATCGAAAATCCCAATTTGTGTTCAATAATAAATTACTACCACGGATTTATATTAGGCCTACATGTAATATAAATCCGTGATTCCAGATGAGTCAAAATATTCAATGAAATCAAATTTGAAAAAAATGTACTAAGATGTAAGGAAAAGTAAAAAGTTTCAAGATTCAAGTAATATCTTACATATTATGTGCGATTAATGACTGATTTTTCAGTATTTACAACTATTTTCTACTGCGTTACTAACGCAGTAAAGACTATATTTATGCACGCAGACACTTGGGTGTGGAGCTAAAAAACGCCTTTAAAACGCCTATATAATTATTATAGACGTTGGAATACGAATTTTTTTCAAAACGCCTTACATAAAGTTTTTTTATATACAGTTGACTCTCGGTAACTCGAAATCCAAGGGACTGGGCATTTTACTTCGAGAGAAACGGAATTCGAGTAACGTGGAACTACCGCTATTACGTTGACATTCGTACATGTATATACATGTGCCTGATTGAATGCGCAAAGAAGTAGGTTTGTTATTGTTGTTAGCGGCAATGCTGCAATATTTAACCATTGAAATGACGGTAAATCACTTACAACTACAAATTATAAATGAACAAAAATATATCATCAATTCATAATAACAGGCAATTCCTTAAATCGTTTCTCTTATTTTTTTTTCCAGCAATTAAGTCTTATGTTCAGTATATGATGGGATTGACAAATATACATATTATTTGGATTTTAAAGGCGTATTTAGCTCCACACCCAAAGTGTCTATGTTTATGCACATTTTGATCACTTTTTGGTAATTTACGGGGTTTTGCGCATTGTCGTGTTGTCGATAGCGACAGGACGAAAAGGCGATAGCGATATAGGTTGCGCAACGCGCAATGCACCAAATCAGCCACCATACGATATCGATATATACATGTAAGTAGTATACAGTAGTGAAAAGTTGCGAGTTTTATTTAAACTCCCATAATGACTATAATTATCTAGTTTGTACTATTTCTAATTATATTTCCATCGAAACTAGTGGCACTTAACTTTGTTAAGTCATTAAATATTTATAAAATTTAGCTCAGCCTCCACTGAGCTCAGCTACATAAATTGAAATGGAATCCCAGCTGCAACAAATGGCCAAAAAAGAAAGTAAAGTTAAATAATCGATCTTGGGTTTTTATTTGTTTTTTTTATTTGTTAAATTCTCAATTACTGAAAAGTAACATGATGCTAATTAAATATACAAGATCTGAGGTCAAATATCGCAACCTACCAACTGTACAATATAATGAGAAGTAAAATTGTACTGCACGGATGAACACTACCATATACATAGACAACTGTCACTAGTAACTTTTTGGCATTTTCCATAAAATTGTGGGGAGGGTAACCTACTATAAATAAATGGACCTGGATATAATGCCCCCCCCCCCCCAAAAAAAAAAAAAAACAACAACAAAACATATATCTTTCAGTTTATCATTGATCGCAAGATGTAAATTGTCAGCTAGTATTGTACTTAAAATACTACCTTTTTCCATAACTCATTGTTATAAATAGAATATGCCATGGTTTCCCGGTAAACTAATTCCAGAACATCGCCTATTATATATTCACAGAAGCAGCTTTTATTTACAGTATAAATTCGGAAACGGAACCATGTATAACAACGGAATAATGAAAAATGCCACGGTAAGTTAATAAATGAACATTTATAGTTATACTTGTACTGCTGGCGTTATAATGTGCAGAAACTGTTGTTTTTGTCACTCTCCAAATTTTTTTTAACAATGTCAATGAATGTTTACCAGGGGACAATGCTTTAATTTTTTAATTCAGCACAAGAATGATTGTTTGATGTATTTTTTTTCACTATTGAAACTTTTTTGATGACTGCCTCACTCCGATTTTTTTCGGACTTTTAAGATACATGTACAATTAGCAATTGAGTTGTATTGAGTGCCTGTATATCATCTTTCGATTACAAGCTGATGCCCAACAGTCAAAGCAGGGTCTTTCTATTTGAAAGACCCTGTTTAAAGACATTATAATTAATAATCCCATTTCAATAAGAAATTGTCTTGCATTTCCGATTATCACCCGCATTATGCTGCTGTCATTGTTATTTGATTGCTTATGGTTTTATGCCTATATTTTTGGACATTTCGGATAACCTCAGTCCTGTTGGATATTTGACAAACCAGAATCAACGGCACCAATTAAAAAACATAAAAAAACACAGTGCATCACATTATGCGTGATTAATGGGTTATTAATGGGATGTTCATGTATATATTTATATGTGTTGAATAGCATTTCGACTTTCATCCTTTGACAAAAATCATTAAAAATGGTAAAATTTTACGGCGACCCACATATAAGAAACATAATATTTTTGTTTAGGTTGTTGTTGGTTCTAGTATATCTGATACCATCCTTACATAATTCGAAGCGATGTATGGCATGTTCTTTCCTTACATACTCATAACTGTATGTTCATATTTTAGTTACTCTTAATACACCATGGTCGCTGTGATAATTAATCGCAACTATCCTGTAAACTGTGATAATTTTTTAATGTAATCTTTTCTTAATATGCACATGATTATTTCTTAATGTGATACTGACTTTTTAATGAATTACATTAATTTACATTTTAAATTGTAATAATTTTAAATAATATATTTCATTAATGTGATTTTTCTTATAATAAGTGATACATGCATTTTTTTCTTTTCTGAAATACCTCTCTTTGTCACGCCACCAAATGCTAAGGACCAGCTTGCTTTTTTTTGTGTTATCCTTGGTTTTGGGAACATGTCATGGTTTACATAATATAGTATTTATTTATTTATTTATTTGTAATTGTTTTAATCTATATTGTGTTTGTTTATCATGTAACATATTTACATTTTGCCGAAATAAATCTATCCTGATCAGACTGCGCGGATGGTCTGGATCCATGCTGGTCGCAAACGCATTATGTTGGTTTTGTCATGGCGCGGCTCATTAATATACATCACCCGTAATCATTATGAATGGCAAAAAAAACAGACTATAAAGATACAAATAAAATTGACATCTCTAAATACTATAGTATAGAGCCTTCATTGACAGTTATTTATATGGCTGATGTAGTATGTAAAGGAAACCAGAAGTAGGACACTAGACACTTGAGTTAATTGGATTACATGGCAACAAAGTGTTTTTATATATTAATAGATTTTGCATAACGTAAAACGTAAGCTAAATTTAAACACTATTTTTTTTTTAAAATTTGGGAGTCTGGCTAGAAAGTAGTTGTAATTAAAAGTATGGTGTCCCAGAAGAACCTTTTGTCGCAAATATAGAATGTGCCGTAGAGAAACAAGATACATTGTATTGATTAAGGTAATCTCGATGGTAAAACATTTATCTGCTTCCTTTTCCCGAACGTAAAGTACTATCCCCTAGTTTATGACGTAAAATCATCCAGATAAAAACATAGAAACCCGTATTAAAACGCTTGTGCTGTTTATGAGATCATAAGAGGTCGGTTGCCAAAGTTCGCCAGTTCGCCAGCATTTCTGGGGAATAATTGGCCGTTTAAGTACTGTCAAGAGACTAGAAATGTTTTCAACGGATGACTGAACTTGTTATCTTTTTCAGACAGTGTGCACCACAGGACAACATGCTTCCGCTCGAGAACTATTTAGTTGATTTTTAATTTATTATTTTTCTTTCGCTTTTTAATACATCTGACGATGTAAGTAGTATCAATCAATTGCAAATCTTGTCCCTTTCCGTCAAACTTCGGATCATTATGAATAATAGCCGAGATGTTCCAATCGAAGTACTTAGCCCCCTCCCCGTGCCTGTACTGCCACTAAACCCATCCAGTACCCCTTCCTCCTTGCTTTAAATCCCAAAAGATATGAATAAAAGTCATTTCTCACAGTTAGTATTCATAACAACAATAATACGACACTATATAAGACAATTGGTATTAGTCATAACTAATATTGTATTAGTAATTACTAACTTAATAGCCGTATGTTGAAAATTATCTAACAGTGTCATATAAATGAAGTTATGAATACTTAATAAATGTGGTAATATAAATTTTTGGTTAAAGCTGGGACTTGGGTTGTGGGAGGGTAGTGGTACACTCTATCTCACCAAAGCGTGTTGTTATTCTACTATTTAATAATTTCAGGATGTGGACATGACCCTCGATAAACATGAACCCTGTGAGTACTTCTACATTTTTTTCTGTAAATATAACTAACGTGTAATCAAAAGTAGAGTCAAGGCAAACATTTAACAATCTTACCGTCTGCATCACAAATTACGGTATTTTAAATAAAATTGAGCTAGTTGCAGCCCACACGACACTATACACACGCATTTGTACTTTATATTTCATTTGACTTAGCATCAAAATAATTTAAGTTGACATTGACTTGGTGCAAGGTTATCAGTGACAGATTACACATGTTTAAAACCGGCGTCTCCTTGCAATCGACGAAATCTGTTAGTGTTATTGTTAGTGTTATTATTCTACTTGTTTCAGATGACGATTTCTGGGATTTTATGCCACCTTTGGCGATTTGTCTATCAACACTAGCTGTACTAGCTGTGGTATTTTTCATCATTTACTTGTGCTTTTGCAAGAAAGAAAATGAGGATGAACCGCCTCTAGTTAAATCTAATACTGAATCTGAAAACATGGAATGGTCAGAACAGAAAAATATGGCCTACAATAAATGTAAGTAATGGTCA